TTTTTTTGAGAAAGAGTCTCCCTCTGTTGCCCAGGCTGCTAGAGTACCAGGGCATCAGCCTAGCTCACAGCAACCTCAAATTCCTGGGCCTAAGAGATCCTCCTGCCTCAGCCTCCCACATAGCTGCGACTACAGGTGCACACCACCACACCTAGCTAATTTTTTTTTTTTCTATTTTTAGGCACCTGGCTAATTTTTTCTATTTTTAGTAGAGACGGGGGTCTCACTCTTGCTCAGGCTGTCTCCGACTCCTGACCTCAAGTGATCCTCCTGCCTCAGCCTCCCAGAATACTAGGATTACAGGCATAAGCCACGGTGCCTGACCAATGCAAAAATAATTTATCCTGTGTTTGATACCAGATGAGACTGTAAGGGTCACATACTCCTTATGTCTACACATCATTTCCAGGTGAAGTGCTCTGAGCTCTGGCTCATTCTGATACCTAAGAAGGGCCTTCTAGGCCGTGGCTGTACAGACTGCTTTTGATTCAGCGCCTTGCAGGTTTGGGCATTATGTAAACTTTTACAGGCTTGCTGAAGGGGATGGTGCCCTCGATGCTGGTTTCCACCTGGGGTGACACCTCACCACCCTCGATCCAGGAGAATTTTGGAATGCGAGCATTGGAGTTGTAGGCCAACAGCAGCCTCACTTCCACCTGGCATGGTTCTGGAAAAAAGACAAAAGAAATCCTCTGTGATAAGGCAACTACCAGGAACTGAGAGGAAATGTCAAGTAAAAGCAAATCAAAATAGATGCAGTAGGGGTTCAAGAACATTTCTTCATCTGTCCGCGTTCTTCCCTTCACCCTCACGGAACAAAAACACTTTCCCAGCCTAAATCCTGTGAGGATGACACTGAGCCTGCAGATGTGATGCTTCTCTGTCACCTCCTCCTTGGGTCTCTGTCTGCTCCCTGCAGCTCCGAGCCATGGCTGCTGAGACAATCAGAGAGTGCACTAAAAACCCTTCTGAAAGGCCTTCCAGCCTCAGGACAGAGGACCCCAGGTGCAGGTGGCCTATTCTCAGACCCAAATAAGTGGGCTCTTCCTGTGTAGTTCAATCTCAAGCCTCAGGGCTACGTGTAGCACAGAACTCTACTTTCTTAGTGGAGAAGAAGCCATCAAATAGGAAACGGTTCTGCTAACAATTCCTCACCAGTGAACAGGAACATGTTTCCGGGACCTAAAATCATGTGAGGAAACCTTTCTTTCTTTTATTACATTATACTATAATACTGATCTAGTGTCTTTATGTGGCAGGCCGTAGCAAGGGTAGATAAGGCCTCCCATGAAGTTGCTGGCTGTATGGTTGGAAAGACAGAGACAGTTGCAATGGAGTGCAGTGCATGCTCTAATCAAGTCAGCAAGAAGTACTGCAGAGGGAGTGCAGGAAGGCTTTGGAGTAGAACACCCACTCTGTGTCAAGCACGTAGCTGCAAGAGTTCTTATCCTGCCACATCATGAAAGAAAGACTGTTACAATCTTGGAAAAAGTCCCAAGGCTCAGAGAGGTTCTAAGTGACTGCCCAAATCCACACCTGTGACAGAATCTTTGAGCCCAGTTCATAAGCTGAAGCAATTAATCTTTCTATTAACCACATGGCTTTTATAAAGAAGGAGGAGAGAATTTCAGAAAAACTTAGGGGCAAGTGCAAAGGTTAGGAACACAGTGAGCTTGGGATGTCCTCCTTAATTTTGTGCAACTGGAGCAAAAGGTGCAAGTGTTAAAGATAGGCCCAAGGCTAAGAAATTCAGAGAGTAGGAATGAGGGCTGGATGGATCTAAATTAACAAGGGCAGAGACCCCAGTACTTCTCAATGCCTCCCCAGACCTCTTCCTGGTCAATTCCACACTTCTCCCTGTGGGTCAGAGCAGATACTGGATTGCTGTCCTCCAGGAAGGAAAAGACTCACGGGCAGCCCAAGGCCACAGCAACCTAGCCAACCTCAGAGGACAGTACGACCTCTGGGTGCAGCCTCAGCATCACTAATAATTACCAGCCACGTGGCAAGCACACACCCATATAACATGAGGGCATATCTGTAATGAAACTATCACTGTTCTCTAGTACCAGGCTCCAGGTGAATCTCCCCCTAAGAGTAGAGTCAGGGTAGGTACCTGTATCAGCTTCCTACCATACTCTCCTATTCTGTCCCAGGTGGCAGGCTACAACCACAGCCCTGGCCCTCACAGCACTTTGAAGAAGCCAAATCCTGATGAGAGTGAGAGGGAGTCAATGTAGGACTCAACCCTAAAGATTTGTTTTGCCTTACCAGCATTTGATAAGAATGGCAATTCAGGCCGGGCACGGTGGCTCACGCCTGTAATCCTAACATTCTGGGAGGCCGAGGCGGGGGGATTGTTTGAGCTCAGGAGTTCGAGACCAGCCTGAGCAAGAGCGAGACCCTGCCTCTACTAAAATTAGAAAGAAATTAATCGGACAACTAAAAATATATAGAAAAAATTAGCCGGGCATGGTGGCGCATGCCTGTAGTCCCAGCTACTCGGGAGGCTGAGGCAGTAGGATCACTTGAGCCCAGGAGTTTGAGGTTGCTGTGAGCTAGGCTAACGCCATGGCACTCACTCTAGCCAAGGCAACAGAGTGAGACTCTGTCTCAAAAAAAAAAAAAAAGAATGGCAATTCAAGGCAGTGCCACAGGAGGAAAGAAGAGAGGAGAGAAAACAAGAGCGAGAAGATAGCAGGAGAAAAAGACAAAAGATCATTTAGGACAACTCATATAACCTATTCATCATGTCTGAAAGAATATATCTCTTAGGTTTCTATTCTTATTCTCATCTTAAAGATAAAGAATGTGAGACAGAGAGGCAAAGTAACTTTCTTAGGATCACACAGCAAGGAAGGCAGAATTTGAAACATGGTCTACGTCAGCAGTCCCCAACCTTTTTGGCACCAGGGACCGGTTGACCAGTTTAATGGAAGACAATTTTTCCACAGACGGCAGGCAGGGGGTGAAGTTGGGGGGAGCAGAACTCTGTGGCCCAGTTCCTAACAGGTGGCAGACCAGTAACTGCTGTGTGCTCAGTTCTTAAGTTTCATAGAAGACAGTTTTTCCATGGAAGGGAGGGGAGGCAGAGCTGGGGGGGAGGCGGAGCTCTGCAGACAGTTCCTTATAGGTTGTGGGTCACAACCCAGGGGTTGGGAACTGAAGGTCTATGTGACTCAAAGCATATGGGAGCACCCTGCCTCCCAGAGGAGAGGCCCCCAGTGGGGAGCTGCTGAGGGACTAGAATAGCTCCCTAGAAACACCAGGCCCCAGCTCCTGGTTTAGGAGAAAGAAGGCACAGGTGCATTTAGAACGAGATGTTTCACCTTAGTACCCCAGACCAGAAGAGAGCATAGTACAACGAAACACAAGGGATTTGAGAGTTAGGAAATTTAAGTGCCAGTCTCAGTACTATCACGGATCACCTATTTGGGCCTCTAATTATGCATCTGTAAAATGAGGATGAGAATACTAATTCCCACCACATAGTTGGTCTAAGGATTAAATGAATTTTTATTGCATGCTTATAATCTTGTATTCAATTTTCGTTATTTGTTGAATACCTACTACATGTCAGGCACAAGGGATACAGGATATAGTGGCACTGGGGATGGAGAGGTAAAGATGAGCAAAGCTCCCTGCTCTAGTGGAGCCTACATTCTCACGGGCAAGTCAGTAAACGCTTCAATGAGAAAACATCTGACACTACTAAGTATTATACAGAGAATTAAAACAGGGATTTGTAATAGTGACTGGGTAGTGAGCTCTCGGAGGAGGTGATCCTGGATAAGTTATAACTCTTCAGGCTCAGGACAGCCTGACTATACCAAAAGCGAGATCTGCAATGAACTAAGACATCTTGAGAGGAAATGAGGCCTCGTGGCAAGAACCGGGAGCTTGGGAGCAGACAGCCTGGGTTCTGGCTCTGGCTCTGGCAATGACTTGCTATGTAACCAGGGACAAGTCAGTAGCCCTCTCAAGACCTTTCACATTTTTTGAGCTCTAACACGCTGTGATTTGCTTTCCTGATCCTTGTCCCTCCTAAAATGATGCTGTCCCACAGCATTTGCTGGCCCATATATAAGTCCCTTCATCAGAAGATATCAGAATAAGGACTCTACTATCCTGTGGGGCTAGTGCTTTGGCATACAGTGCAAAAATGTGCCAGGAAGCAAGGATATGGAATGAGGGATGCTCAGGGAAGCAGATCCTGGGTAAAAGAGGTGCTGGAGGCTCCTGCAACTATGCCAAACCCAGGGTCACTAGAACCCCAAAGGGGCTGCCCTAACATTCAAAAGCACCTTGTGAAGCTTTATAAAGTCATCAGTGCCCATCCAACACCCCTAACAGAGGGAAACCATTAACAATGGCCTTAAGTAATTGTTTATATATTTTAAAACGAAGAGTGAAAGAAAATTCCAAAAGACATCCCCCTATTTCTAAAATAAACCAAATTTGGCAGTTGTTACCTCCAGTAACAACTATGCTCCTGAGTCCTCTTCAGTGATTTAGGAAACACCACTGAGCCCAACTGTCCCAATATTTTAGGTTCTGCAGACTGTCTTTTTTTTTTTTTTTTTTTAAGATTTCCAAAGCAGCCTTGCAGACTTGAAATGTAATGTCTTTTGCACTTGCATTCTCACATTTTATTCTTATGGACTAAAAATCCTCACAACTAATTTGTAGATTAAGAATTATCATCTTGGCCGGGCGCGGTGGCTCACACCTGTAATCCTAGCTCTCTGGGAGGCCGAGGCGGGCGGATTGTTTGA